TACAGTTTTTGAATTTTTCTGCATATGTACGCTTTCTGGCATCATTGCTCAGATCTCCCAAAGCACACAGTGTGGACAGGAGTTGTAAATTTCAGCTATTAAACAGACTTTTCAAAATATATTCATGTTATTTGATGTGTGTACATTAGAAAAAAATTAAGCTAGCATGTCGTTGCTTTATAAATATGTAAAACAAAAGTACTTTGGAAAAACAAGGAAATTTATTTTTTTATATAGGAGTACTGCTATTTATTCAGCCACTGATTAGCTGATTGAATTGGCATGACCTCCAACCTTACTGTTTTTTCCCCATTATTTTATAATTTTATTTATTGAATCACCGTGAGAGTAGTTACAAAGCTTTCGGGTTTAAGTCTTGGTCATACAATGAAACACCCATACCTTCACCAGTGCCCATTCTCCACCACCAAAACCCCCAGTATACCCCCATCCCACACACACCCCCACCTGTGGAGCAGATGATTTCCACATTATTCTCTCTCTACTTTTATCACATTCAATATTTTGACACCAGACCCACCATTATTATTTGGGATTTTACCCCAAAACTCAGATCTGCTGAAAAGGCAACAGTAAACAATTTGTTTTCTATTGCTGGTTAAGAATAACATATGATGACATGTGGCTGCATTAGTGGCCACGTGGTTTTGAAATTCTGAAGTTTTTTTTTTTTATATTTATTTATTGGATCACTGTGGGAAAAGTTAACAAAGCTTTCAGGTTTAAGTCTTGGTCATACAATGATCAAACACCTTTCCCTTTACCAATACTTTTTTTTCATCGCCAAGAACCCCAATATACCCCCCTCCCACCGCCCAGTGCCTGTGAGGCAGATGATTTCCACTTAACTCTCTCTCTACTTTGATTACATTCATTATTTCAACAAAAGATGCACCATTATTGTTTAAAATTCCCCCCCCCCCCAACAATCAGAATTGCTGAAAAAGGATTGTGAAATAATTTGATTTCTATAGCTGGTTATGAGAACCATATGATGTCAGGCAGCCACTTTGCGGCCACGCGATTTTGGATTTCTGATATTTTACTAGGTAAGTCTGGAGGGATTTCTGCAAAGAGCCAGAATAATTAGGAGATTGGTTTCTGTGCATCTGCTGTTATGGCTGTGCTGGAGAGCCGCTCGGGGGGGACAACTCGTGACCTCGGTAGGACATGAAGGATGAGCCGGTACCGCCCCTCTTCCCATGAGATTGCAGTTGCCCCGTCACCACCAGTTCAAACCTGGCTTTCCAATAAGTTCTGAGGCAGCGGCAACTTTGCTGCCGGGGGGGGGGGGGGGGGGGGGGGAAGCAACACCCTTTCTCTTTCCCTCCCAGGGAGGCATGGCGCTATAGTTTAACACATGGTCCATTTGCTTTTCTGCCACAAGCTCCAGGCTCTGGATTAAGTCATTTTGCTTTTGGAGCCATGGCCCTGCCAGAGAGCCGCTGATGGGGGGCAATTTGTGACCTCAGTAGGGCATGAATTTCATCTTCCCATGAGATGAAATTCCTAAGTTTTAACACTTAAATCTGGAGGAATTTCTGCCAAAACCTACTGGGTTCCGAGATTTGTTCCTGAGTCTCTGGGTTCGTGGCTGTTAAGCAGCTTGATCAGGAGCCATAGAGGCCGTTTGTGGGTGAGGACTCGGGGTCTCATTGGGACGGGGAAGAAAGGGCCAGCTCCACCCCCATCCCACGTGTCTCGTCACTGTGGGTCCAATCCTGACTGTCCAGTAGCCTTTGGAGGATGGCAGCTACCAGGCCGCTAGGGGGAACAGGCCAAGGCACAAAACCTATTCCCACCTGGGTTGGCCCAGCACCTGTAACCTACTGCAGTGACCAGACGCATTTCTGCCAAAAGCCATTGGGTTTCGAGATTTGTTTCTAAGTCCCTGGGATCATGGCTGTTAAGCAGTTTGATCAGGAACCAGGGAGGCCATGCCTCCAATTATGTAGCTGAGTCGGAGTTGGTTTGTGGGTGTGTCTCCCATATACCTCACTTTTGGCCATTTACTTTCTTGGTAAACTTTGCCCCAAGGTTTTGAGGTCTGGCCAAAGGCACAGCAGCAATTTTGGGGTTTCTGATGCACCATCAGGCTGCTGATGCACTCACCTCACAGGTACAGATTTACCTGCTGGCGGCACCATACCCTCAAAGCAAGGAAATTTAAAGTCAATATAAAACTTAAGTGACAGTGCATCTGTCTTTAAGATGGAAAAAAATAACAAAAGTATATGTTAATACTTGAAGCCTGTCAATTCTTTCAAATTCTCGAATGAGATATAACAAAGCTTTTATTTTTCTTACCACTATCCCAACTCACCCACAAATAACAGGATCTTATTGACCATCACACTAACTCATCACAGAACAATACTCAGATTATTTCCTTTTCATTTAAAAAAAATGCAGTAATACCCATAGAGGAAATTCCATAAGAGAAACAAAAATAGATTGAACAAAAGAAGTCTTATAAAATTCTACCACCCCAACTTATCAGTTGCTTTCATTCCCATTCAGCATTCCTTTCTGTCTTTGAACTCATGTGCAAACTTTTATGATTGGGTAGATGTACTTTTTATTTTCATGTTAAATTAAGCATATCAAATTGCTTTATTGAAAACTCTTTACTGCATATTTTGCTCTCAGCTTTGTTGGCCACTTGTCATTCCTCAAACTGAACACTTAACTGAGTCATTCTTCATACTGCACTTTAACCCAGATGTAAGTAAAGAGGAATTTATGCTGTAATTCAGGTACTAGTTTCCATCCTTTTTCCAGATACCTTCCTTAGAAAGATTTCAATGTTTTCATTCTTATTTTCTATGATTTTCTTTAACATTTTATAATTTAAAGCATTTTTTTGAAGGCACAGGGGGCACACTTGGCAATGTTTAGGAGTTACTCCTGGCTTTGCACTCAGGAATTCTTCCTGGCAGTGTTCAGGGTTCCATATGGGATGCTGGGGATAATGCAAGATATACCCTACGCATTGTACTATTGCTCCTGCCCTAAATTTATTTATTTTTTGTTTGGGGGCCTTGCCTGGCTGTGCTTAAGGCAGATTCTGTGCTCCTGGTTCTATGCTCAAATGATCATAATGTAGTGCCAGGAATCAAACCTAGGTAGACCTAGGTAGACCACATGCATGTCAAGAACGTTACCAGCTGTACTAGTTATTCAACCTATAGCACATAGTAAAGTTTTTATTTGTACATTCTCATTGTTTTTTTTTTCCTGATCTCGTGTGTGTGTGTATGCATACTGATGTCATTGCTTAAATTGTGCAGTCTGTGAATATTATTTTATGTATATTACATGAGGCTGTTTCTCATAAACATTGTCTTCGTAAGATTCAGCTGTAGTCCGACCTTTCCACACTCACGGTCGAAGTAGGCCAGCATTTGTGCCGCTTGGCTAATGTTTGGTGTTATTAAAACAATGTCATCAGCAAAGCGGAGGTGGTACATGAGAAACAGCCTCGTTCCTGATGCTCCATTCGTTCTCAACGGAACGACCATCTCCGAATGCAACAGTTATGTGTACCTAGGTCGAGAAGTCAACATGACAAATGACCTGGCACCCGAGCTGCGCAGGAGGAAGAGAGCAGCTTGGAACGCCTTCAAGAGCATCGAAGAAATAGCTAAGAGCACGAAGAACCTCCGGCTCCGGGCACATCTCTTTGATTCCACTGTTCTTCCTGCATTAACATATGCCTCAGAGACCTGAGCCCTAGGCAAACAGGATGAGAAGCTATTCGGGTTTCCCAAAGAGGAATTGAAAGAGCTATGCTTGGAATATCACGTTTCACTCAAATGAGAGACAGAATCCAGAGTTCTGACCTCCATCGAAGATCAAGAATCAGGGACACTGTCTCGTTTGCCAAGGCGTCAAAAATCAGATGGGCTGGTCACATAATGAGATTTAGAGACGTCTGCTGGACTAGAGCCATTACCGACTGGATTCCACAGGATGTCAAAAGACTGCGTGGCCACCCACCTACCAGATGGTCAGAATTCTTCATCAAGATCATGAACAATTGGTTTGAGGCTCTTCATGTTACTAGAACGAACAGACGCTATTGGGCTACACTAGCACACAACAGGACAAATGAAGACGTTACTGGCGCCTGCTCGAGCAAATCGATGATTAACGAAAAGTCAAGTGATCAAGTATATTACACAAATATATGCAGTGACTAACCACTCAACAATTATTTTTCCTCCATCTAAAATGAAGAGATCTAAAAGGACTGGACTTCTCTCCACTTCATTACCCTGTTTATACAGATCATTCCCATTGTTCTCCCTTTCTCTCTTTTTTTGTTGTTATTGTTTTTGTTTTTTGTGTCACACCCAGCTATGCACAGGGATCACTCCTGGCTCTGCATTCAGGAATCACTCCTGTCGTTGCTGAGGAACCATATGGGATGCTGGGAATCAAACTCGAGTTGGCCGCATGCAAGACGAACACCCGTCCTGATGTACTATCGATCCAGCCCCTCCCTTTCTTTTTAATCTCACTCCATATATGAAAAAGATTTACCTTTGGGGCCAGAGAGAGTAATTACAAGGAGTAAAACACTCTCCTTGCATGTAACTGACCCCAGTGCAATATAAGCTGAGAACCTTGAATAGTAACGGGTATGATGCAGAAAATACAAAACAAAATTTACCTTTTTATACTTATTGATGCACTCAGATTAACCATTGTGTCTATTTAGTATTAGTATCTTGCTTATTTTTAATCTGTTATTTGATACATAGCATAATTTTAGATGTGTTCCATAAAAATGGCTTTGTTCTTGGTTAAGATGTGCAGGAGATTAGGAATTATGATAGTGCAATTTGTTTTGAACAATGCTAATGGACAATTAAATTTGTAATGATTGATTTGTCGAAGCTTGAACTGGTCAAAACTTGGTAACTAGTCAAAAATAAAATAACTGGTTGTTCTTTTTTTTTTTTGATATTTTAAAGGCTGGATTATAGTGGACCTTCCAGAGAGTTTTTCTTCCTGGTATCCAGAGAACTCTTTAACCCATATTATGGATTATTTGAATATTCAGCCAATGACACATACACAGTTCAAATAAGTCCTATGTCTGCTTTTGTAGACAATCACCATGAATGGTAAGTATTTTTACTCCTCAGTTTTTCTTCAGTGGAACTTTGGTGATAGAGTTTATCAAAACCCGTGTTTCTTTCAGCAATTTTTTCCCCTTCTGAGAAAATCATATTTTCAGTCAAGTTCCCCAATTGATTCTTTATTATAAACAGGCAGCCTCTAAGCCTGAGATAAATTATATTCCATAAGCCTAGTTTTAAATGAGACTTTAAAAGGTTTTCCCATTGAGAAAAAATGATAAATCATGCTGAAGTCCCAGAAATACTCTAAAGCTCTCTCTTTTGGGTATCTGAACTTAGAGGTGGGATGGGGTGAACATTAAAGTCTGGACCCAGAGACTAGGCAACTTGAGTGACAGTGCTTAGAAGAGCTAGCAGTTGGCGTGGGGAGGGATGGGGTCAGAGGAGTGGCAGAACCCAGTATTCCCTGTAGTGATGATTTAGTAATGGCGGCAGGGGGGTGGGGGGGAGATGAGTGACATGGGCAAACTGATGGCAGAAGAGAACCTGATAGAAGAGCTGCAGTGGGGAGTCACAGTAGAGCTCACTTACTGAGTAAGTGTTCTTTTGAAGCTAGGGAATGTTTTTTTTGTAATTTCTCATGCAAGATTAGAAAAGCCAAAACCCACACATATTAAAACACTGATACAGAGATTATTTATTTGGAAAATCCAAAATTATACTCTTTCCAAGCATCCTTATCTTTTTTTAAAATTCTGCATTTATAAACTTTAGATATTTTTATAGCCCATTTTTTTTTCTGATCATTTTCAGTGACGCTAACAGAAAAAAGAACATGAGTAGGTCTCACGGAAAATGAGTCATGAGGTTAATACTGGTGGGTGGAGGCCATTAATTTATAGGACATACTCTTCAAATTAGCTTCCGTTTCACTGCAGTTTGGAGCCCTCCTCTCTGAGGCTATTGCAGTTATGCTAACCTAAGTGGAAATAAAGGAAAACAAAGCTGCTAGACATTAATCGTACAACGGCTGCCTGATACTTAAATTACAAACCAACTGTATGAACATCATGTGGATTTACTCTTTTGGAAAGCATCAGACTTAGAAATATAGCTAGAAACTTGAGAACTTTTGAAAGACAATATAAGTGTACATCTCAGTCAGCAAATCCACTTATGACAGATATATTACTTTCCAAAGTGGTTTAGACCAGTACTGAGCCTTGAAATTTTTAGAGAACAGAATGCCCCAGGAAGAACCCCCCCCCCTTCCCCCTCAAATTTCCCTATGGATAATTCTTCATCGATTGCCTCGAGTAGGCACCAGTAATGTCTCCTTCGTCCTAGCCCTCTGAAATGCTCTTTCAGGGTTAGGAGAATGAGACCCATCATTGTTACTGGTATTTGGCATATTGAGTACGCCATGGGAAGTTTGCCAGACTCTGCCGCACTGGCAGGATACATTACATGCATAATTCTTAGATGGTGATAATTCTGAGGACTGAGGGTTTGAAAGAGCAAAGGAATAGGAACTTCTTCAACTGAAACTGGGTTTTTCCTCAAAAGAGAATTGCTACTGAGTTTTTATTAGAAAAGTCCTGCTAATGTCTCTGCATGCCAACTAGAAGGGAACAGTATCCCCTTATCCCCCCCCCCCCCCCGACCCACCTTCCACCTTCCATTCCCCACTATTGGTCTCATTCTGTCAACGTCTTTTAGAGGTAGTTTGAGCGACTTCACCAACATGTTAGCCATTTAGGGTGTCACATAAAGGGCTTTATTAACAGGAGGTAAAAGAATAGTACATATATATCAGTGAGATAGATTTTCCACCAGTAGATACAAATATTGGCCCAATGAAGATATATCCTACAGTGTGCACAAACATTCCTAGACCTTGTAGGCCATTAATCTTGGCTAAACTTAGAAGAATCAGACTAGACAGCTTTTTGGAGGGCAAGTAACACCATTTGGAAACTGCATGATGTATAAGCTGTCTCATGCATTTCCTTCACAGGTTCCGGTTCAGTGGTAGAATTCTTGGTCTTGCACTAATACACCAGTATTTGTTGGACGCCTTCTTCACACGACCCTTTTATAAGGCTCTTCTCAGAATGTAAGAGTATTTTTTTTTGCTTGTATAGCTAACATATAAGAATGTGGTATTTCCTTTATTGAAAGGGATCTTTTATCAAATTATATTTCAGATCTGTTACTAGATTGTTTAGATTTCTGAAACTAATAAATTCTTCAAATATGGTTATTGTGTTTTCCCTGCTTCTGATCCTTTATCCTAGTCTTTCCCCATAAGTTTTCATTTTCCTCTGTTCCAAATATTTTATTCTTATTTGTTATAACACATATTTCTTTAAAACAATTGTCCTTCAGATACAGCACTGGAATTCCTGTGGTATTAGTGCCAATTATTAAAAGAATAGTTGTGGGTTAGTCTTGGTGACTCATAGCTCCTTATTCTTTATAAGATGCACTTTTTATTTTGCTTCATGCAAACGTTTAGTTGCTGCTATTGGTTCCAATTTTCACTGGCTTTGTTCTGTTTTTTTTTGTTTGTTTGTGGAAGGTGGACAGTGCCATATTTTTCTTGGGACCGCTGTAGATGCAAGTTAGTTACTTATGATGTCAGAGGAAAATTTAACATCCACAGAAATTTTTCTTCTTTGTTATCACAATGAAAGATTGCAGTTGTAAGATGTAAAACAATTTCTATCCTATAATCAGCAGCCATTTATAAGACTGGAGAGGAGAAGGTAACTGTGATGTAGCAGCTCAAACTTGGAATAAGAAAGTCCGAATAATTGATTCTCCAGCATTTTTTTTCTTTTTGGGTCATACCCAGAGATGCTCAGGGGTTACTCCTGGCTCTGCACTCAGGAATTACTCCTGGAGGTGCTGGGGAGACCATGTGGGATGCCAGCGATCAAACCCACGTCGGCCACATGCAAAGCAAACATCCTACCCACTGTACTATCGCTCCGGCCCCTCCAGCTCATTTTCTTAGGCCACATATATCTGCTTTCTGTAAGTGGAGGTCCAGACCGCAAATACAAACATACATGCTGTTTCCAATAGTTCCTAAGGAAGGTTGTCAGTAGGAAGACTTTTACCTTCCACTGTTTGTGAATCTTTGTAGCTACAGCACTGGGCTCTAGTTATTTTCTGCTTTCAGGGTTCCTCTTTACTCATTTAGCTTCTTTCCCTTCATTGCCATAGCTGTCATCTATTCACTTCAGACCTCCCTCAAGGAGCAGGTTGCACACCCTGCTTCAGTCAATATGCTTCAGTCTGGTTTCTTTCCCACCAATTATGGAGACTTTTAAAAAGGAATTTTTAGTCTTTACCTTCGTGGACCATGTTGTTGTGTTGTTGTTGTTGTTGTTGTTGTTTTTCTTTTTGAGTCACACCGGGCAATGCACAGGGGTACTCCTAGCTCTGTACTCAGGAATTACCCCTGGCGGTGCTCAGGGGACCATATGGGATGCTGGGAATCGAACCCGGGTCAACCGCATGCAAGGCAAACGCCCTATTGCTCCAGCCCCATATTGTAGTTTTTGACACCACTGCTGACCCCCAGTATCTACCCTTTTCACTTGAATCTTTCCTTTCCTTTGCTGACATTCATGACATTACTCTTCTTTCTCATTTAACTTTTATGTATTCCTTGTGGACTTCTCCTCCGACTTGCCCTCAGCCCTCAATGTTCCTGAAGCTATCTTGGACCCCTGCTTTCCTCTCTCTCTCTCTCTCTCTCTCTCTCTCTCTCTCTCTCTCTCTCTCTCTCTCTCTCTCTCTCTCTTCCCCCTCCAGAAACAGTATGCACTACTGTTTCTGGCCTTTCTTGAACTGCATGCACACATGAGAATTTCTAAATAGTAGCATGATATTTTAAGGTGTTATAATAGTGTCAGAATAGTGGACTTAAGTTGTCAACCTAAATTCCCTGCTGTCAGTCATTATTGAGTATGCAAATAGTATCCACACCTTGATACTTCAGTTCTGTCTATAAAAGGGCAGACTGAATAATTCCTAAGATATTTACATATCTAGGATTTTATACTTTTATATCTAGGATTTTATAATTTTATATCAAATTACTTTCTCACTGATTTGTCTACTGAACTTATTTCAGAATATTCTAGAAGTCACTGCCTATTTCGGTGATTTTATTCTTGTCTTTAATTCTTAGTTTCTCTTCTCATGACTCTAGTTATTGCTAATAGCCATGCCTGCACATTTGTTTCTGTCATCTTAGTCTGTGTGACCTGAGTGATCTAGAATACCTTGATGAAGAATTTCACCAGAGCCTACAGTGGATGAAAGACAATGATATCCACGACATCCTGGATCTTACATTCACTGTAAATGAAGAAGTTTTTGGGCAGGTCTGTGTATATGTTAATATCTGGTGACTAAATGCAGTAATGGAAAGGTATTTGTTGGTCAAGAATAAATCCAGTGACTAAAATGAGATGATTATTTTTTGTGGCTTATTGGTTAAAGTTTATTTATAATTATAATAACCTTGATTACAAGTTTTGTAATAATACCACCATAGATTGAGGCTATTATGGATTGTAATAACCATTTGTGTGTTGTGAGCAATCTTTTTATTTCCAGGTAAAATATCCACATAAAAATTTTAGAATGTACTTTGTAAGTTTAGAAGTCCATTCTGTGGTCACAGGTTCAAGTCCCTGATATCCCACATAACTGAGATTGGTGATTCTGGCAACACTGGAACTTGTGGCAACTTTGCTGTCTATGAAAGCTGGCATTTCCAGCAACCAACCTGTGTGACCACCACAAAAGTGGGTTGAGACTCCTGGTGAGCACTTCAACTGAAAAGTTGTACAAGTGCAACAGCCAGAAACTGCATCCCCTGGTGAGCACACAGACACCCCCTGAAGCCCTCGCCAAACACCAAAACCATAACTTTTATGCCTCAAGTAAGAATGCTTGCCATGGCAAGTGTATATGCTAGTTCCACAACTAAAGAAATGCAATTCTCAGTGGAATTGCATTATAGCAGCTGAGTATAAGCCCTGCAACCTGATGCATGGTCCCAGTGAGCACTACAGCTAAAAAAATAAAATGTGCAAGTTATCCCAGCCAGTTGACTATGTGTGCAAGGGTCATTACAGCAACAGCAACACCAACATCTGCAGACAGGGAAGTAGAGAGGGGAGGGAAAGAGGGTTAAAAGCCAAATAAAAGTCCATGCTGTCCCAGAATTAAAAATTAAATTATTAACTTTTGTTTGTACTCACATGCATTTAGATTTAAGAAGTAAATTTGCAGCTGAATGAAAATAAACAGTATTTCAAAAATGTGGTCCTTGGTTTTTTGAAGTAGGTCGAATAGTTGGTTACAGATTTCTTTCAGAAATTATTTGCAGTTCCTAAAGATTAGTCTTATTTGGGCCTTAATATTAAGCTGATCTAAATAACACATGTTTTGGAAAGAAGTTTGAGGTTTTAACATTCATTTGAGTGTAATTCAGCTTCTTTAAAGTAATTATTTAAATATTGGCTTTCAATATCTAGTTGATTCAAACCCTTAAGGAATTTGTAAAAATGGAGTTTTGTCAAACATTCAAGTTGCAACCAATGAGAATCTGAACCTAATTCATTTTTAAAGACTTTATTTATGGAAACAAAGGAATATAAAGGAAAGACAGGGAAACTCCCAGGTTATGGGAAGGGAGCTTCAGAATTAGCTTCAGAATTCCTTGAACCTAATTCTTTTATTTGAAGTACTTCAGTGAGGATTTTACACATCCTTCAGCATTTACTATACTTTCTTCTTTAACCACTGAGGCTTTCAGTTATTAGCTCATTGTCTTTTTTTTTAAAAAAAAAAAAAACATGTGCCCTGGGCTGCATGTTGACACCTCACCCTGCTTGTGGCATATGCCCAGGCAGGGGCAGTGACAAGTAGGTGACCGATTTTAGATATTTGGTAGCAGTGTTGTTATAACAGCAGCAATATTAGTCTGTGATTGGTATTTTTGTTTTTCAATCTCAGATTACTGAACGTGAATTAAAACCAGGGGGTGCCAATATTCCAGTTACAGAGAAGAACAAGAAGGAATACATCGAGAGGATGGTGAAATGGAGAATTGAGAGGGGTGTTGTTCAGCAAACTGAGAGCTTAGTGCGTGGCTTCTATGAGGTAAAGACAGACACAGGAGAGGGATTTTTGTTGTCTAATGTTGATCATTGATCCATCTTACTGAACCTACTCATATGGCTCCATGGGACAGATTTTTATGATGCAGTCATTCCAAATTTTCTCTACACTCTATGCTCTTTCTATTAAAAACTCCAGTATATTTCCTGTATGTTTCCAAATGCATAAAAAGCTTACTTCCCTGTTACATTGCTGAATTAAAATGACAAGAATTCAAATAGCATTTGATGGTTTAATGGTTACCCATAATGTTAAAGTCATGCATCTTACTTATGCTTAGATAGGGGCAATTACAGCTCAAACTTGAAATGTGAAATGTTCATACCTGAGGATCAAGTATTTTGTGGTTAACAATATCTCATGTGGCAGGTTTAAGGGATGGTTTGGAAAATTGGAAATAAATGGTGGGAAGGTGCAGTGGTGGTGGAATTGGTGTTGGAATAATTTCTGTAATAAAACTCTGTAACTAAGCTGGTGCACTGTACTGTCCTCCCATTGTTCATCGATTTGCTCGAGCTGGCCCAGTAACGTCTCCATCATGAGACTTGTTGTTACAGTGTTTGGCATATTGAATATGTCATGGGTAGCTTGTCAGGCTTTGCCATGCGGGTGAGATACTCTCAGTAGCTTGCCAGGCTCTCCAAGAGGGGTGGAGGAATCAAACCCGACTCCATCGGGCCAGCTATGTGTAAGGCAGATGCCCTACCACTGTGCTATTGCTCCAGCTCACTAAACTGATGACTTAATGAAATTATTAAATAGATAAATAAAAAGTATTTCATGTGACTCCTGTGGAAGTTGATCTTTTATGAAACAGAAAAATGAACTGAATTATTCAGTGACCAGTTACAAAATGAAAGTCCTATTGAGACAAATCTTACCTTCTTTTGTATGACCAACTATTCTGTATTTATGAAGAGCTTTGATAGAAATTTTGTTTATGTAGTTTTTTTGTTTTGGGGCCACATCATGTGGTGCTCAGGGGACCATAAGAAGTGCCCTGCATCTAACCAGGTCCATAGTCTACTGTAAGGAAAAGACCCTACCCACTGTACTATCATTCTGGCCCCAAGGCTTTAAAGTTTTTACAGATTGCATCTATGTTAGTGTTTGTCCTTTTTCTTGTGATGCTTGATTATAACTGAAATTTCTCTGAGTTCTTAAGCTATGCTGTGTGTTATTTTTTATCTCATAGGTGGTGGATGCTAGGCTAGTATCGGTCTTTGATGCAAGAGAATTGGAACTGGTCATCGCAGGCACTGCTGAAATAGACCTGAGTGACTGGAGAAACAACACGGAATATAGAGGAGGTGAAATTTGATTTTTATATGGCTGGATTTTCAGTTTCAGCTTAAATGGAAGTTAAGAATATTGATCTAAAAGCAGGAAATTAGACACACTTACCCAGTAATCATAGTCTGATGTAGTCTCTGAGACCTTAGGCAAAGTACATTCTCTTCTTTTTCTACTTACCTCATCTGCCAAGTGGAAGGACTGTTTACGCGTCATCTAAGGATGTCATAATGCTTCGTTGTTGGTGAAGAAATGTGACCATAAGAACACTAATTAATTGTTTTATGGTGTTATGAATGAAGCACTCGGGAGCATACAACCAGCTGTTCATGCCCCACCTAGTCTGTGTTCATACTACAAGCAGAACTTGAAGGCACGCCCTTGAGCTTCCCAATAAGCAAACAGTTTTCTACATGTCACTGAACTACTAACCACTTGCCATGCGCAACTAAGACACATGAATGTAATAAGACATGGTTCTCAGCATTCAAGAATTTTATTGAACAAGCTCTTCTAAATTCAATCACTAAGTTAATTCAAAAGGAAACTATTGTCAGATCAAAAATTGCCCATCTGACAATTTATCAAATGGAAAGCTTTTAAAATAGCATTTCTGAAGATCAGTGTAAAATTTTAATTAGTAATTAGGATTGAAGCCACTGAAATATCCCATATTCTCTTTGAAAGGGGCCTACTGCTAATCTAGAGTTAAAGTTTAATTAATAATTTTAAACAAAGAAAGAATGTTCTTATTGAAATTTATTTATTTATTATTCTGAAGAGTTACAAACTCTTCAGAATGTCATGACAACTTTTTTCTGTTTGGTACTGATGTTTTATCATTTTAATAATTAATTATGTGAGGGGCTAGAGCGATAGCACAGCGGTAGGGCGTTTGCCTTGCACGCAGCCAATATGGCCGACCCGAGTTTGATTCCTCCGCCCCTCTCGGAGTGCCTGGCAAGCTACCGAGAGTATCTCGCCCACACGGCAGAGCCTGGCAAGCTTCCTGTGAAGTATTCAATATGCCAAACACAGTAACAACAAGTCTCACGATGGAGATGTTACTGGGCCTGCTCGAGCAAATCGATGAACAATGGGAGTACCGTGACGGTGAGCGAATTATGTGAGATTATAACTTGTTTTTAAATTAGGAATACAAAAATACGAACTTCAAGTTATTAAAGTTATCACTTCACAGAATAAATTGAGAGCCAAACAATTCTCCAGTTATAAAAATTGTAACATAGACTTAAAATAATTTTAAAGGCCCAGAACAAATAATTGATTTTTAAAGCTTATCATTGTTACCATGGACTGACCTCAGTTGATCATTTTCTGTGAACAATAGTATTAAAATTGCAGTTCCACTGCTATTTTTCAAGTCCAATTACTGGTAAAGTCTTTTCCAATTCAACATATATAATCTATATATAATCTTCATTATTGTAATTTTACAAATTGAACTATTTTTACTAACTAGAACACAATTTCTTCAAAATACTACATAACTTAACATCTTACCATCTCACCTTTTATTAGCTTGTTTCTTTATCCCAGAAGATTTTAATAGCAATGAATCTAATCAAATCATGAATTTTTGTATTTTTGTATTTTGTACATGCACCACCATGTATAGTCTAGTTTTATTTGCTCTTTATACAGTATAAATTTTTATTCACTGATTTAACTAATTACCTATGTCCGTGATAATTTTTGATAAACATTATGAAATGAATTCCTTGGGACGAGATGCTGGGGCCAGGAGCAGGAAAAGGGGTGAGCTCTTCAGCTGCCATGTTACAAGTATGTCTGTTTCCACTTGCCATAAGTTCATAAGGCAGCTGTGTATGTGAATACAATGAGACACTTCTGCTACTCTACCCTCAGAATATTTGGCACAGACAGAAAAGGCAAGGCTGGAAAGGACGAATTGTAACGTCAGGAAACTTTGAAGCTAGAGTCAGTGTGCTTATTTTATAGGTGAGAAAATTATTTGCTGAGCACCGAATAGCAACTCTTTGCCAAAAGTAGGACATTGAAACCTATGCACCACCATGTACAGTCTAGTTTTATTTGCTCTTTATATAGATCCCTTTCTTCTGTAAAAGGAAATAAAACATCACTGATCCGATGGCAAACAATGAGGCAAGATTTCCTCAAGACAAGGGTCACAATAATTCCTACTCACTGAACTGTACGAAAGAAGTAATTGCAGATATTTTCTACAAACTTACTTTGAGTCAACTTATACTCATTCTGAATTAGAGTATTTTGTGTGCACTGAATAGGTCAATTAGTTGCTTTGAATAACTAATTATACTTAATCCCTTTGAGTCTTTTAAAGAATAGAAGATGATAATTTATGTCTGGGGAATCTTTTTTTCAATGTATCATTGTGTCTTTAGAAAAATTAAAGTAATATGACTTTTCATTATTGATTTGATAGGATATCATGACAATCATATTGTAATTCGGTGGTTCTGGGCTGCAGTGGAAAGATTCAACAATGAACAACGACTAAGGTTATTACAGGTAAGCGACCATTTGTTAATCTTTTTAATGCATTAATATAATCATGTTGCAATTGCATAGTCTTAGTAATTGCCTAGCAATATCAATAAACACATCCCGTGTTTATCTGAAGATAGGGAATATACTATTTGCAGACACTTCTGATTGCTTGGTTCTGTGGCTGCATCACTATGCAGGACATTTCTAAGCAAGACCAAGAATTTCATTATAGTTCTGAAGAAGTGCCGGCCTGAATCCAAGAGTCCTAAGAACAACATCTGCCTTTAGGCAGTCTGGCCCCTCCGCCAGAGCCTTGGGGTACTCTGCAGGCCAGCAACCTAAAGAACAGAAAAAAAGGATCTTCAGTCCAGAAAGAAGTGACCCAGTTTTTTGAAAAAGAATTCTTTTAACTCACCTGACTTTCCACAAATTGTAATTCAGCAAGGAAGTTCAAAAACTGATAAACCATATTTATTTTTCTACTGTCTCTAGAGGACTGTTGCCAGTTGGGTGCATCGAAAAAAATATATGCATGGGAAAGTGAACCCTCTGGATATTGATAAGTACTTGAATATAAGGCCCTTTGATCAAAGATCTGGTCTCCAAATATGCAGGCTCTCACAGATGGGCTGAAATTAAGTGATATTTTTACTTAACAATAATATGAAATTAACCTAGTTTAAATGGGTTAAACTGTAGAGTTCTTTATTGTCTACAAATTTTCCATGCCCCCTTCCCTTCATAATGAACTGTCCATCTATAATAAGCTCTTCCGTTTCATGGTCAGAATCTCAGGCTATGGTTGTTTCAAACCTGTAAAATGTTATCCTGAGATTTCCCCCAAGCAAACCTGTTGCTCTTCCCCTGAGGTCTGCATGGAAATGCCGCAGGTCTTTGCTGGCCATGGGTCTCTGTCATTACCTTCTCCTGTTTTCTTGGGTTGCTAGTTCGTTACGGGCACATCCAGCATTCCCTATGAAGGATTTGCTTCTCTCCGAGGGAGTAATGGCCCAAGAAGATTCTGCGTGGAAAAGTGGGGGAAGATCACTGCTCTTCCCAGGTAAAAAAGAAAACACTTCTTTCTTGTCACTAGGGGAGACCTTCAACATATGTGCATTTGATATACTGTTTTTAACTTAATTGTGGGACAGTGGAAAAACTTTTTAGAATGAATTAATCTCTGTTTACCTTTCTAAAGAAAGGGAAAAAAATCTTTTGCTCAAATCAAAAACTTACCCATACATATACAAAAGGTGACCAATCAAAGCATTTCTTAGCTTCAGTAAAGCAACATTGGCCATAATCTCAGAGAAGGGTGACTTATATATATCCTAGGAGCTCTGGTTTACGTTTATAGTAATAACTGCTTGGAATCTCTTCACTAAAAATGACCATAACATTTTCTAAAAAGCATGAGGATCTTGTGAATGTACCTTATACCTTTTTACCCTATATCATTTGGGCTTTAAATTTATGTGAATGCTTCCTATGTTGTATTCTTACAATAAAATCATATGTTTCCTTAGAGTAAAAAAAGAAAAAGAAAAACTTTACTGTTGTACCTGATAAACATAAGACTGATAAAGTAGTATTAGGAGTAAACACATGCAGAAGTTGAACGGAAACGGCCAGCACCAGAGCAAAAGAAAAGTTCCTATATCATTCCAAGTCTGTGTTTCCTTATCTGTATATAGGTTTGCGACTCTGAGGGTTACATATAATTTTTCGTGTAGAACCTTTACTGCTGAAACAGGTCCTGACCAAGCATCAAGTTGGTGGTGGCTGCCACTTTGATTCTCAGTGTCATCAGTAACACGGATCAACAGCAGCCTCTTGAAAAGCCCACAGTTGGGAGTTAGAAGACCTGGGCTCTAGGCCCACTTCTGCTACTAGCTAATTCTGGAACCTAAAACAGCACTTAATCCCTGGACTTCATTTTCCTCAACTGCAAACTGTCAGGGAGTGTGGCTTATAAGTGTGGCTGGTAAGTGAAAAGAACTAGTTGGCCATACTGCTATTTCCAGAAAGGTATAAGCTATAGTATTGAAGGTCTGGCTTGCTTCCAGCTGATCAGTCTCAATGTACTGCTTTGTCTTTCTCTTGTGTAAGATTTTTAGCATTTTAAATGTGATTTTGCTCATGCTGGACATGAAACAGATAGGTGTCTTTATTTCTTTGCTTCTGGAAATGGGGATCTGCCAAGTAATTCCCAGTATTCCACAAGGCCTCCCCTATGATTTGCAGCCAAATGAGCCATCAGTTCAGTGTAAGGGTCTGAAGATAAACTGCTGCTAGGCTCTGGAGTGCCAGGGATACCCAGGCCACCCTCTAGAGCTGCACACTGCAGTGCTACTCAGGGGACCATATGGTACCTGGAATCAAACCCAGGTTTGTTCCCTAACCACTGTACTATCTCCCAGCCCTAATGTCCTTAACACAGCGGTTAATGTCCTTATTACTTAAAAACCCATCCTTAAAAAGTCTGCATCACTAGGAAGCTATACCCTTGAGGGTTGGAAGTGGCTACTTCCAAAGCATGTTGGAATTGGCTACAAATAAAGCATGAGGATAAGCAGTCCAGAAAAATTGGAGGGTATCTTCAGTCTCTCTAATCTTGGATGATTGAAAGCCTTTTGGCCTTTTAAGCAAGCAAACATGTTTTCTCAGATTTCCCAGCAGTGAATAGCGCTGCTCACAGCATGGGCCAAGAAGTATATTAAAGTATAGATGGTTCTGTCTGAAGCCAGCACAAGTGGGCTCCATGGCTCCTTTTGCTCTCTTGTGGTAACAGTAAGTAGAGACCCAGATGATAAATGATGATGGCAGCAGATGGTTTCCCCCAGGGAGACTTAGAGCCTGAATGCGTTCCTGCACTTCCTCAGCTTCGTGGTTGGTGGTCAACTCTGTTTTGCATCTCCATGGATTTCCTATCCTTTAGTACTCCGAGGGACTATATGGGAGAGGAAATTCACTTGACATCAATTGCTCTTAAACATTCCAAGAAACTGAGTGCCTACTTGCCAACCTGGATAGTGCAGGGTGGCTTCTCTCTCCAAGCACGGAGTAGAGTTTCTCTGCACTGCCCTGAGGTTCTTGCCAAGTTGGATGATGGGACTGAGAGGAGGGGAGCTAGCTGGAGAGCTGCATTGTGATGGGGGGAGTGTTGATTTTGCCAAAGAGGAAAAACAAGTTTTAGAAAATGGCTGTGCCTAAGATTATCATGAATGAAACAATGCCATAAGTTGAGTTAATTATGAAATGGATATCTCAAGAAGACTTTTGATGTCTGGAATCTTTTCTTTCTTTTCATTTTTTATAGCTAAGGTCATGTGTTTGCAGTGTTGTTGACATTTTATGGTTGTGATGTATTACCTCAACAATACCAAAGTGTCCCTGACCTATACCCCTTATATCCTGTTATATCCTGTCCACCTCATTCTTTCACTTCTTACTGCTCCCCTAATCTGGAGTTTTTATTTTCTGTATTCCAGTGCTCTAGGAAACATTTGTTTTCAGTGAACTGGAATTTTAAAAGATAAAATTACTCTTTAAATATATGACAGTTTTTCATTTTTAAAACTGCTTTTTTTGACAAAATGTCAAGAATCATATGTGTATATGTGTGTTATGTATGTGTGTGAGAGTGTATTAGTTTATAAGTACATATTTATATATATTCACCTCTGAAACATTTTGGAGTATATGTCTTCTCAGTTCTTTACACACAGAAGACACATTTAAAAGCAAACCCACAAGGAGGTGGAAATTGACTCAGTCATAGAGGATATTCTTCTCATATGTGAGACCTTGCCTTTGATCCCAGCACCACAAAAAAAAATTTTTAATTAAACTTAAAACAAAAATTAAATGAAAAAATAGTATTACTAAACTTATTGTTCATGACATACTTTTTGTTTATCAAATATCACTGATAATAGAAATCTTTGTCATAAATATTGTCATTGTAGACATCATATTGTCTATGGTGTTATCAATAATTTAGTTTTTTTTCCTCTAGTATAGACAGCATTGTCCACTGAGCCTCCTCTTTTCTGTTTCCATGGGGGACCTTCCTCAGTGGTCTCTCGAAAGCCCCAGAAACTTCTGGTCAGCTGAAGTGGCTTTTGGTTTGAGAGGGAATTGGCAGTTGGTTCTCATCTAGTAGTCTGATTCATAGTTCAGTCTCTGAAAAAGGCCCTCCTCAACTCTTTTCCTCTTCATCCCACTCGGTTCTCACCACATACCAGTAATATTTAAAAGTTTTATTTTATTCTACCAGTGAATCAGCATGTGCTAACAAAAATGGGCCAGTAATGACTAGAATTATTACCTTATTAAAATTCCTTAAATTTACTATGCCTTTTGAATTGGTCTTTTACTTTGGGAAGTGGGTAAAATTATCATAAAAATCCAATGTGTCTAAAAAGGGACTCCAGCAATTAATGTATAACGTGAAACTCTTGAAAGAATATGTGATTTTGTAATAGAATGAAGCGAGGTTTAATTGCTGCTAACAGCAGAAGCTGGAACAGTCTACGTCACACCCACTAATGGTGCTAAAGACCTGCTTCACTCATCCTAGTTTAAAGGGTACATTTGTGAGTGACAGACTCTGTAACTATTACAGAGTGACCATCTGCCTTACTTTTGGCCTTGAGTAAAAATTAATTTGGGTCCATTTCTTTCCCACTGTTCTAATCTACTACACCAGCACCTCTTAACTGAATTACTTAGCATTCTCCTGGTTAGCCCCTGCTACGTTTTGTACATCCTCTAGTTCATTCAGCACTTAACAATCAGAAAGATCTTCTGAAATCTCATGAGTGCCTTGGTTTCCTGCATATGCCTTTCAGTGAGACGAATCAAAACACCTTATAAGGTCTGCCAGCTGGTTAGCCTAGTCAGGCCTATCAGGACTAACCTCAGAACACACACACTCCCCAGACTTGCTCAATCACCAGCTTCCTTGTTGCTCTTCTTCAGAGTCAAACCCACTTCCACCTCAGGATTCTTAGACTTTCTACTTGACCTTTCTCTCCGTTGGCTCTTCATGTGACTGGGACGTTTTTGTCCCAAAGTACGCCACTCAGATGTCCCCTCGGCCAAATCCCTGAAGTGTAGGTCTCTGTCCCACTGTACTCGCGGTTCTGTCACACATTAAGTCTTTCTCATAAGTCAGTCCTATGGTTATCCATTTGCTTGATTATCTGCTCCCCCTCTAGCACGCAACCCTGCAAAAAAAAAAAAACATATTTCTTGAGTAGTGTTGAGTCCTGGCATAATTGGTAATCAGCAAATATAGTTTTTAGTAAATTCTCCAATTTGAGGTATGACTCTAAATCACACAAGACAATATAATGCCAAAGTCACTTTTGTATATATGTATTCTCATCTAAGCAACTGAGACATATACCAGTAATTACCTGACAAAGCTATTTTGAAGATTAAATTAAATATACAAAGTACTTGAAATGTGGGTTTAGTACATCATTCAATCAACACATTTCCATTATTACTGTTATTTTACGGTGAGGATGCAATTTTATAATTTTTAGGTATGGAAGAAATATACCATGGAATATTTTTTGTATTTTGTTTGGCCTTTAAGATTCGTCATTCTAGAACTGTTTTTTTTCTGTGTTTTCTTCCATTAGTTTTTTTGTTTGTTTTGTTTTGACCCACACACGGCTCTGCTCAGGGTTTACTCTTGGCAGGCTCCAGGGATCATGCGGGGTGCCAGGGATCAAACCCAGGTCGGCCGTGTATGGGCAAGCATCTCCCCAGCCAAGCCCATTAGTTTATTTTGGTTGCTTCACTTTTCAATCACATGTGGCTATGCTGAGAGTTTATCCCTGGCTGTGTCCTCAAGAATCACCCCTGGGGGTCCTCATGGTCCTCAGAGGATCGTATGTAGAGCCTGAAATCAAACCTGGGTTGATTGCTTTCAAGGTAAACACCTACTCGTCGTGATAGCTCCCCAGCCTTGGGTTTATTTTATTTTATTTGGTAGTTCATACCAGAAGTATCAAACTACTCCCACCTCAGTGCTTAGGGGTTACT